CTTATAGATGGTGTAAAAATATTTTTACCCTGGGTAGACATAGGTACAGTGGTATCATTTCTGCTTCGTGGCTTAACAGTAGGGGTGGTAGTTTTCTGTGGCCTGAGCTCATTTCTGCCGCCTGCTGACCCTGCCTCACTGTGCCTTCTCTGTTCTCATGGATCAGAGAGGGATGGCCAGCCCAAAAGTCTCCTCAGAGGTAAGTCAATCTTAGACCTCAGGGGACCTTAGAAATCACCTAATTTAACCTATTTATTTGACTTGATTAGGTAACTGAGAGCCCAGGGAAGTTAAGGGATTTACCTCCATTAGTTAGCAGAAAAAATTGGAATGTAAAAAAAAAAAACAGTTTTCCTGAATCCCTAATCTTAAATCAGATGTTTGGTAAGATAATTAGTTAACCATACATCCCTTGGTAGTATTCTGTATAGAACTGCAAGTTTTCAAGTTATTTGTAAATTTATTTTACTAGTTTTTAGAACACTTAGCAAATTGTGCATTCTCAAAGCTTACTAAGCAGTGAAAGTCACATTCGGTATTACAGATTTTTTTTTGAGGTTGTATTGTGTCTTTAACAGAAATAGCCACTTGTTTCTGTTTCAAAATACTCAAAAGTAACTGGTGGTGTCCTAAGTACTTGTTCACTTTGAAGTAGAGATCAGATATGAAAAGTATTAGTTGCCTTGGAAAGGTGTACATTTTTCATATTCATGGCCAAGAATATAGAAATAGGGATTATAATTTCTACATAGTAAAGCCAGTGTTCTGATTTATAAAATCATAAAATATGTATTTATGAAATATGAGTCCTGGGCATTGTTCCTACAGGAATAGATTTGCATCCGATTCCTCCTTTGTTCCCATGGTTTTTAAAACAGATACGTTCTTGGAGCGCGGGAGGGTGGCTGCCCCTGGCGTGGAACAGTCTCCCCAGCAAGTCAGTGTTTTGCCTACGCTTTCCTGGGGATAAATAGGATTTAGGTCCTGGCGCCTCTCTTGCTTGTCTCTACGCCCTGCTAAGCATGGTGAGCAGTGGCCCGTGGTCATTAAAATCCTTATCACCATAGGAGTTGATTAGGAGCATAGTTATTTTCTGAGATTAGAAAGGCTCACTGAATTCAATAAGTGACTCAAAATGGTCTTGTATTTCCTAATAATTTAAAGTGTGATTAATACCAGCTATTATAGTTCCTGTGATTTAACTATTAAAAGCAGAAATTTGAAGGTAATGAATAGATGAGTAAGGTTAGGAGCCATAGACTATAACATGAATTTGAGTTCTTCAGACACAGATATATTCCCCAAGAGTTGGCCCACATAAGACAAACTCTTTTTATTGCCAGAAAACTAAATGAGCCCTATTTTACATAAACAAGCCACCTTCACAGAGACTGTGCATGGCTATGTGCCCTTAAATGGAAGGCAAGACCTGTCTTGTCCATCAGACTGGGATTGGCGAGCACCAGGAGAGCCTTGAGAAGGTTTTTCATTGTGCTGTGCAAAATTTAAGCCCTTTTTCAACATTTGAAGAAAGAAAAATGACCTTGTTTTATCTTCTGGGGCAGCTATTTTTAAAATTTTCTCAAAATTACCTAATGGGATTCCAGCCAAAATTGAATGCTAATAGATAACATTCAGCATCTTCCCAATACTCAGTTGGTTTATTCCACATATTCTGCTTTTGCATTTTGAAATTTTAAAAATTGACTACATGATTGCATTTATAGCACTGAGTAAAATTTTTCATTTTCTTCAGGTAAATACACAGAAGTAGAATTACTCTGTTGTATTATATTGTAGCACTGAGGTTTATCTTGATGGACTAAGTGGCGATGTTGGTACGGTATCCTTTGGTGAAAGCTCTCTGGGACAGTGGCCACCCAAAGCCCAACTATCCTTTGATATAATATTGATTCTGCCAGAATTTCAAATGAGATGCTGCTTTGATTCCACTAAGCTGGTGTTTGAGTGGCACTGTATCAAGTAAATGCATGCTCCATTTGTATGTGTTGGTTTGCAATAAAGTTAGCTATAGAAGCTGAGCTTTGCCCACCAAGTTCAGAATAGTTTACAGAATCCTAATTTAGAAATTGTTTTTTTCAGAAAACTGCTTTTTCCTATAGTCTCTTCCTTTGCAAATAAGTGATAGGAAGGAAGAATCTAGGTAATTTTGAAAACCTAAGTTTAGCCTTATGGTTTAATGACTTGATTATTTTATAATTCTCTCTGGACAAAGTTATTCTAGACATTGACATCCATGTTGTTTCAAATGACAAGATTTCACTATTTTTCTTTATGACTGAGCAATAGTCCATTGTGTGTATCTATGTGTGTGTATATATACTACATCTTCCTTATCCATTCATCTATTGATGGACACGTAGGTTGCTTTCATATCTTTGCTGTTGTAAATAGTGAGGTAATAAACATAGGGGTACATATATCTTTTCAAATGAGTGTTTTCATTTTCTTCAGGTAAATACACAGAAGTAGAATTACTGTATTGTATTGTATTTCTAATTTTAATCTTTTAAAGAACCTCCATACTGTTTTCCGTACTGGCTGGACCAGTTCATATTCCCACCAGCAGTGTGTAAGGGTTCCCTTTCTACCACATCTTCACCAGCACTTGTTATTTCTCATCTTCTTGATATTAGCCATTCTGACAGGTGTGAGGTGCTATCTCACTATGGTTTTGATTTACATTTCCCTGATGGTTAGTGATGTTGAGCATCTTTCCATGTGCCTGTTGGCCATCTCTGTATATCTTCTTCAGAATAAAAACATCTAGTTAGGTCCTCTGCCCATTGTTTGATTGGGTTGTTTATTTTTTTGGTGTTGAGTTGTATGAGTTCTTTATATATTTTGTATATTAATCCTTATTGATAATATCATTTTGCAAATATCATTTGCAAGTATCTTCTCCCATTTAGTAGGTTGCCTTTTTGTTTTGTTCACAACTTGTCTCGCTGTGCAAAAGCTGTGGAGTTTGATGTAGTCCAACTTATTTATTTTTGCTTTTATTTCTCTTGCCTGAAGAGACCGATCTAAAACATACTGCTAAGACTGATGTCCAAGAGTTTGCTACCTATTTTTTTTTAGGAGTTTTATGGTTTCTGGTCTTGTGTTTAGATCTTCAATACATTTGAGTTCATTTTTATATATGGTGTAAGAAAGTGGCCCAGTTTCATTCTTTTGCATGTAGCTGTCCAGTTTTCCCAGCACCATATGTAATTTTCTTTTTTTGTGGTGTCTGTCTGGTTTTGGTATTAGGGTAATGCTACAGTCATAGAAAGAATTTAGAAGCATTCCTTCCTCTTTAATTTTGTGGACTCGTTTGAGAAATGTAGGTATTACCTTCTCTGTATGTGTTTGGTAGAATTGACCTTTGAAGCCATCTGGTCCTGGACTTCCATTTGTTCAGAGTTTTTTTTTATTACTGATTCAATTTCATTACTAGTAATTGGTCGGTTTGATTTGCTATTTCTTCATGATTCAGACTTGGTAGGTTGTATGTTTTTAGGAATTCATCTGTTTCTTAGAGATGTCCAATTTATTGGCATATATAATAGTCTATTATAATCCTTTGTTTCTGTGGTGTCAGTTTTAACTTCTCTGTTATTTCTCTTTTTTTTATTTTTTGATGAGTCTGGCTAAAGGTTTATCAATTTTATTTATCTTTTCAAAGAACCATTTATCTTTTCATTTCACTGATCTTTTATATTATCTTTTAGTCTCTCTTCATTTATTACCACTCTGCCCTTCATCATGTCCTTCCTTCTACTAACTTTGGCTTTGTTCTTTTTCTAATTCTTTTAGATGTAAAGTCAGATTGTTTATTTGAGATTTTTCTTGTTTCTTGAGGTAGACTGGTATCATTATAAACCTCCCTTTTAGAACTGTTTTTGCTGTTTTGCAAAGATTTTAGAACACTGTTTCCATTTTCATTTGTCTGAAGGAATGTTTTAATTTACTCTTTGATATTTTTCATTGATCATTGGTTGTTTATTACCATGTCATTTAGTCTGTTTGTGCTTTTTCCAGTTTATTTCTTATAAACAGAATTCTATTTCCTTACAGTTGTGGTCAGAAAAGATGCCTAATATGATTTCAGTCTTCTTAACTTTATTGAGACTTGTTTTTCTGGCCTAACATGTGATCTGTCCTGGAGAATGTTCTGTGTGCACTTGAAAAGAATATATTCTAATTTTGGATAGTATGTTCTGTATATATCTGTTAATTCAAGTCCATTTGGTTAAGGCCAAAGCCTCTGTTTTCTTACTGATTTTTTGTCTGAATGATTTACCCATTGATGTGAGTAGTGTGTTAATGTCCCCTAATATTATGTATTATTGTCAGTTTCTCCCTTCATATCTGTTAATATCTGCTTTTATATGTAGGTGTTCCTTTGTTGGGTGCGTAGACAGTTGTTGAATGCACTTGCTGGATCAGTCCCTTAATCATTATGTAATGCCGTCTTTGTCTCTTGTTACAGTCTTTGTTTTAAAGTCTATTTTGCCTGCTATAAGTATTGCTACCCCAGCTTTTTTTTAAATTTCCATTTACATGGAACATCTTTTCCCTCCCTTCACTTTCAGTCTGTGTCTTTAAGTCTGAAGTGAATCTCTTGTAGGCAGCACATAGATGGGTCTTGTTTTTTATCCATTCTATCACCTTCTTTTGAATGGAGCATGTGGTCCGTTTACATTTAAAGTAATTATTGGTAGTGTGTACTCCATGCCATTTTGTTAAATGTTTTCTGGTGGTTAGCTTCTGCCTGTTCCACCGGACAGTATACAACCAAAGTGTCTGGCTACGTTACTTTATCTTTTGTAGTTCCGCTCTACCAGCGGGGGAAGAAAATGACAAGAGGGAAGCTGGCCACTCAGCCTGATCTCCCAACTTCCGAGCGCCAGTGGCTCTAGGTGAAGTCGTCCTGGATGCTGTGAGGAGTAAATGGCTGATGGCTAATCTGTTTTAACCCTTTTCCCACACTTTAGGATGATTCCGGCCCCGTTACTCCAGATGGGAATGAAACCTCCAGTACTACAACCAGTGCCTTCACCATCCAAGAATACTTTGCCAAGCGGATGGCAGAACTAAAGAACAAGCCACAGGTCACAGCTGCAGGGCCTGACTTCTCAGAGACCCAAGTGGAAAGGAAACGGGGGAAAAAAGGAAAGAAAGAAGCAAAAGATAAAAATGTAGAGAATTACATCCAAACCAAGGCTAAGAAGAAGAGAGACCAGGTTGAGTGGCAGCTCAGAGACCATTGCTGGGATGAGAATTTTGATGCTTCTGCTGAGAACAGAAAGGATTGTGTGTGGCCACCTGAGGACCAAGACTTCACTGCCAAGTCCAAAAAAAGAAGAGAAAAGAAAAAACTACAAAAACAACGTGAGGCAGCAGAGAATGCTACACTAGATGGAGTACCAATAAAAAAGAAGAAAAAGAAGAAGGATTCCAGATAGATTCCCTTGGACCAGGGCCTTCTGACCACTCCAGTGTCAGGACACTGCCAGAGCAAATACCTTTGGCCTGAAGTCAGAGCAGAGCTCGCCCCAGAGACTTTGTGTACATCCTCTGACATGCCCGTGGATTGCCAAGGCCTGCCATCTCACCACATTTGCTCCAAGTCAGATTCCTAGAAGAATTTTTTCATGTTCCAAATCATGTTTCTCATAAAGAAATAAATTTCTTTTTAGACTCGGAGCCCTGCAGCGTGAGTGCTTGTTCACAGTTTTTGCATCCATCAGGTCGTCTGTGCGCATGCGTGTGTAGCCGTACCGCAGTCTGTGTTTGCTCTTGCTTTCCTTTAACAGTGGGATTGTGCTTCCTCCTGAAGGACTTAGTCTAATTAAAGGATTAAGAGGCAATAGTTTGGATTCAGATAGTTCTTTTTGTTCTATAGCCAACCATACATTTTTGCCAAGTAAGTATAATACGAATACACTCCCAAATCTGATGGTTTGGTTTGGTTTGGTTTTGAAGGCAAAATTATTTTAACGACCTCTCTTCTACTAAGCAGTGGCAGCTGTGTATTCTGAGTCAAGTCTTCTCCCCAAGACTACAGAGTTTAAGAAGTGAACTGATTCTGGGGACAGTTTAACCTTCCAGCTCTCATAGGAAGCTTCTGTGTTCTCTCCCCAAGAGGAGGCAGTCAGATACATTTCAGTGCGGTGGGGCTTGAGAACAAATCCCCTAGAGTGGGCTCTGCTTACTTACGAAGGTCAGGAGGTCCTCAGACGTTTCAAAAATACTGAGAATCTCAGGACATGAAATTAATTTCATCTGGAAATCAACCTCTAGATTGGGACCACCTTATAAAAGTTCTTAAAAATGTAAATATTGTATATATATAGTAAAAGATGCCTTTCAGTCCTGCTGAAACCAAATGGTGCCACCCCATGTGTGAATACTGCTCTCTGCCACATCCTGGTGAGTCTCCCTGCATGCCAGTCAAACTCTCCCTGTGTTTGCCCATATAACTTCAGACACCTTCACACCCTCTTTGACACAGAATGGGAAAGAAAATGCCTGCTAAGATTTGGAGATCCAGCCCTGTTATTTTCTCAGCCTGCTCCCCCTCATTTGCTTTCTTCATTGTCTTCATCTCTTACTTTTTTCTTCTTCATCCTTATACCCTTTTACCCCCTCTTCCTTACTGTCTCTGTATTTGCAGCTCCCAGTTTTCTTGTACCTCCTTCCTAGTGGCCTGCTTCCCACCCTGCTCCTGCAGGCTTGCCACTGCGGTCGGCCTGCTCCTGCTGGGCGGCTGGTCTAGCTGTGGGCGTGTGGCAGGGCGACACAGACTGTGTGCTCGTCTCCACCCGATTCATTGATCCCTGCTACGTACAGGAACTGGAACGCACACTCAGGCTGATGACCTTTTGCCCATGATTTTAACTCTCAGGGTCACATGTTAGATATGAAGCATGGCCCCACGAGTCTTAAAACTTAGAAAAGACTTGAACAATATTTGGTTTTAGTCTCTTAAGAATTTTGAACAGTGCTAATTGTTTGAACACACACACTCTCTCTCTCTCTCTCTCTCTCTCTCTCTCTCTCTCTCTCTCTCTCCCCACAGAGAAAATTGTTATCAAGTCAGAGCCTGAGGTCGAATTTCTCAGTTTTTTCATGGCCCCCCAGAGTTTAAAATCCCTGGGTATGGGACAGTCTAATAAAATGCCAGAGGTTTTTAAAGTCACTTTTCTTCACAGAGGGCACATGCCCAAATTATCTGTGCTTGTCTTGTCTTGTATGTGAAACTGGAGTTCCAGAAAGGGGTGGGAATGTATGAAACCTAAAGGAAACTATTCTATATTTATATATATATATATATTGACTGGGCTTGTTTTCTTTTTTGCCTTTTATTAACTATTAAATATTAACTATTTATTAAATATTATTCTATTTTATTACTTCTTTACCAGTAAAAAAAATGAGAGCCAGGAGAATATACTGAACTGTGCAGGAGGAAGAAGCAAACAGGTATTTAGGAAGCAGCGATTTGCATCGGGGTCAGATGGGGTCAAAGGACTGGCTGGGAAGACCAGAGGAGGGAGATGCTAAAGGGAAGTTCTTTCTAATTTGGATGCCTTTTATTTATTTTTCTTGCCTAATTGGTTTGGGTAAAATTTCCAATATTAGTTGAGTAAAACTGATGAGAGTAGGTATCTTTGTCTTGTTCCTGATCTTAGAGGAAAAGCGTTCAGCTTTTCACCATTAAATATGGCATTAGCTTGTGGGGTTGTTATAAACAGCCTTTATTATTTTGAGGTACATTCCTTCTTTACCTGCTTTGTTCAGAGTTATTACCATAAATGGATGTTGAATGTTGTCACGTGCTTTTTCCATATCTGTTGAGATGATCACATGATTTTTACCCTTCATTTTGTTAATGTGTCACATTGTATGTATCACATTGACTGGCAGATGTTCAACCATTCTTGCATCACTGGAATAAATCCCATTTGATCATGGCTTATGGCCTTTTTAATGTATTGTTGAATTGGTTTGCTCATATTTTGTTGAGGATTTTTGCATCTCTGGTTATCAAGGATGTTGGCCTCTAATTTTGTGTGGCATTCTTGATTGTTTTAGTATCAAGGTAATGCTGGCCTCATAAAATGCACTTGGAAGAATTCCCCTTCTATTTTTTTGAAAGAGTTTGAGAAGGATTGATATTCTCTTTGAATGTTTGATAGACTTCACCAGTGAAGCCATTGGGTCCTGGACTTTTGTTTGTTGGGATGTTTTTGATTACTGATTCAATCTCCTTTCTAGTAATTGGTCTGTTAAGATTTTGTATTTCATCATGATTCAGTCTTGGTAGGTTATACGTTTCTAGGAATTTGTCCAGTCTTAATAAGTTTCCAGTTTATCAGTGTACAATTGTTCATAGTAGTGTCTTATGGTCCTTTGTATTTCTGTGGTATCAGTTGTAGCATCATCTCTGTCATTTCTGATTTTCCTTATTTGAGTCCTCTCTTTTTTTTCTTGGCGAGTCTAGTCAATTTTGTTTATCTCTTCAAAGAACCATCTCTTAGTTTCATTGATCTTTTTTGTTGTCTTTTGTCCCCATTTATTGCTGGCCTACATTTTGTTATTTCCTTCCTTCTCCTACTCTGGGTTTTGTTTGTTCTTCTCTTTCCAGTCCTTTGAAGTGTAAGGTCAGGTTTTCTCATTTCTTGAGGTAGGCATTTATTGCTATGAACTTCCCTCTTACAGCTGCTTTTACTGTATTCCCTAAGTTTTGTGTGTTACATTTCCTGTTTTTTTATCTCAAGGTATTTTTTATTTCTCTGATTTCCTCTTTACCCTTAGTTGTTGAATAGCATGTTGTTTAAACTCCAATTATTGTGAATTTTCCAGTTTTCTCATGTAATTAATTTCTAGTTTTGTACCATTGTGCTTGGAAAATATGTTTGAAATTATTTCAGTCCTCTTAAATTTATTGACTTGTTTTAAGGCCCAAAATATGATGTATCTTGGAAAATATTTCATATGCACTTAAGAATGTTACTTTTGGATGGAATGCTCTGTATATATCTATTAAGTATATCTGGTTTAACATGTCATTCAAGGCTGATGTTTCCATACTGATATTCTGCCTGGATGGTGTATCCATTGATGTAAGCAGGGTAGTGATGTCCCTTACTATTACAGTATTGTTATTTCTGACTAGGTGTCTTAATGCTTGCTTTATATATTTAGATGCTCCTGTGTTGGGTGCATAAATATTTGCAAATGTTCTATCCTCTTGTTAGATAAACCCCTTTATCATTATGAATACCCTTCTTTGTCCTGTATTACAGTCTTTGTTTCAAAGTCTATTTTGTGTAATATAAGTATAGATACTCCAGCTTTCTTTTGGTTTCTATTACATAGAATATCTTTTTCCATCCCTTCACTTGCAGTATGTTGTGTGTCCTTACATCTAAAGTGTATCTCCTGTAGGTAGCATATCATTTTTTTAAATCCAGCCACTCTATGTCTTTTGATTGGAGAATTTAGACCATTTACCTTTAAAATAATTAATTATTGATAGGTATGCACTTACTGCTATTTTGTTAATTTTCTGCTTGTTTTTGCCATTCCACTCTGTTACTTTATTCTCTTGCTTTTCTTCCTTTGTGGTCCGATGTCTTCCTCAGTGCTGCGCTTATATTCCTTTATCTTTTGTTTTACTTTTGTGGTTACAATGAGATTTACATAAAACAACATATCTCTAATAAGAAAATATTTGAGAACAGCTGACAAACTGTAATGTTTTACATTAATTTGAGTTAGTATTTATATAAGCTGTAGAAAATATTTCAGGTACACTGCACATTAGAAATTTTCAATGGATTTTCCTTCCAACTTGGTCAAGAGGTTGGTGAGAAACTGGGTAAGTAACTCAACTTCTTAAAACCTGTATTTAAAAAAAAAGATAAATTCTTTTAATTTGTAGTACTGATGCTTTCAAAATACAAAACTCACACTTCTGTTTCTCTTCCTTCACCTGTTGGCTGACTCCAGCAGGAGCAAGCCAGGACCTGCTTCTCTTTTCTTTTTTTTTTTGTTTGTTGTTTTTTGTATTTTTTTCAGGAACAGCATCAGAGAAATGTTTCAGTACTATCTTCCCAAGCGATCTCAGCCTCTGGACCAGCAAGCTGTATTTAGGTTTGAGTAAGAAGTTCCCCACTGTTACCCTTCTTGCAGTTCTGCTGTCACGGCAGTTTGGAGCTTGTGGTACTGGCATGTGGGTATAGGGAGGTCATGTCAGGTGCTCTGATGTGTGGTTTTATAGCATTCAGTTATGATGGAGCAAATTAGTATCATGTCCTAATAAAGAGAATGACTAGACTCCTTGCATAAAAGTATACTATCTAGTTAGGAAATCAGGAATACATTAAAATGACATGCACAAAGCCTTCATGGGACCAGTAAGAATGGGGGGGAAAGGCAGAGATACAGACAGCATATTAGGTGGGAACAGAGTTGCATTTGGGTTGACGGAGTGTTGTGGATGGTTGCGGTGTGTGGGCTGCTGCGTTCATGTGTGCTGAGCTCTGTCCTCCCAGGACCTGAGTTGAACTTTTCTATAAGCATTAGCAGTGAACTTTTTCAAAGAAACTGCAATGTATTATTAAACCAAAGAAAGAATTTTGTATTTAGTTACATTTAAAATTTTTTGTTTGGGTTTCCTTAGAGAAAAGTATATAGAT